CACCGGGCCCCCCCCCCCCCAAGCCATGGGCAGGACTGCCTGCCGGCCCCTGCTATGGGGGACCCGGGACCATCCGTGCCTCGCAGGGCTGTCATGAAGAGAGACGGGGGGGGGCACACACACTGTGGCTTAGCCAGAGCTCCCGTTCTGGGAAAGGGTGCAGGTGAAATAGCAAGGTGGCTGCAGAGGAAAAGTAGGTGAGGGGAAAGAAGAGTGGGCCACGTGGGGGGGGGGGTTTACTCTGCCACTGGGCCTGGTGGCCGGCTCTGTCTGTGCTCTCCTTGGGAGAAGCCGGGAAGGGGCGGGGGAGCCAAAGACCAGGGTTGGGGTGGGCAGGTAAAGGCAAGGGTGGCTGGTGGCCCGGAGGGAGAGGAAAAAGCTGGGGGAAGGGGGGGAGAAAGAGGGGGGGGGTCCTTGCGGGGGTCACCCCCCCCCAGCTTCTCTAATTGTAGAATCTGAAATTGTAAATGTAGCTGTCTGAGTCAGCTCAACAGGTGGCATGGTGGATATAACTTAGATTTCACTTAAACATGTCCGTGAGCAGTAGGAACGTTTGTTTTTGTGTGAAGTTATGGTTACCTATTCGTTTAGAATACTGCCATTCAAAGAACTGGGTGTCTGGGAGCGGGAATAGTGATGTTAATGTCCAGGGAGAGCGGCGGAGTCCCGAGGGGGCCCCCCCCGCCCCCCGCCCCCCATCCCTCCATTAGCCTGACCTCACAGAGCTGCTGGGAGGAAGGGGAGGACGTGTTCCTTCCGCTTGGGCTCCCAGAAGGTGGAGAAACCCCCAAGTCAGGCGCTTGTGGGCAGTGGCTCCTCGTTCTCAGCCGTGCCCCCTTCTCTCCTTGCCAGTGAGCTGTACTTCAAGGCTCCTGCGGGCACCAAGGCCCGGGTGATCCGGGAGGTGAAGGCGGACTCCATCGGCAAACTGGTGACCGTCCGCGGCATTGTCACCCGTGTCTCCGAGGTGAAGCCTCGAATGGTGGTTGCCACGTACAGCTGTGATCAGTGTGGAGCAGAGACTTACCAGCCGGTGAGGAGGAGGAGGAGGGCCCTGCAGGGGCTGGTGGGAGAGGGGGGGACCTCCTGGAGACCTACCCCCTGAGCTCTTTGTTTCTCTCCCCACCCCCACGCGTTGCCTCGTTCTAGATCCAGTCCCCCACCTTCATGCCTCTCTTGATGTGCCCAAGTCGCGAATGCCAGACCAACCGGGCTGGGGGGCGACTCTACCTACAAAGCCGCGGCTCCAAGTTCATCAAATACCAGGAGCTGAAGATCCAGGAGCATGTGAGTAACCCGGGCACAGCTGGATGTCGCAAGGAAGCGCAGGCTCCTCTGCGTTGCTGATTGTGTCACGCCTCGTCTCTTCCTTGCCGTTCCCGTCCTGACTTGCAGCCATTGGGTGGCTCAGTTGTGTCTGAGGAAGGTTTGGAGGCAGTGGTACTTTGGGGGCAGAGGAGGGCTACTTCCGTCAAAGCAAAATAAAGAAGGTAGGTAGGGGCACGTGGGCGGGAGTGGCCAGGCTGAGTACCAGCCCCCTGGGCTTTGCTTGCAGCATATTCCAGGTGAAGGATCTTGAGTGAGCAGAGCCAGAAAGATCTCTACCCTTGCTGGTCAAAGCAGACAGTTCTGGACTAAGCCAGCAGGCACGGAATAAGGCTAACTGTACGCTAGGTCTATGTGGAGATGGCCGAGTTCCAAAATGCACTGCATACGTCAAAGTTATGTTCGTGCAACTGCTTTTCTCTCAGGCTGGGACACGATCTGGACCATTGCTTGAAAATGATGGGCGGGGGGTAAAAAATCCAACCTTTGGGCTCCCTCCAACAGACACCCACTCTTTCTGCTGGCCCCGCAAAATGCACATCCCAATTTCTTGGGAACCTGAAGTGTGGGCTAAGAAATTCCACACTACCTGCCTGCTCGTGGTGTAGTGGTTAAGTGCACGGATTCTAATCTGGGAGAACTTCCACACTATCTGCATGCCAGTTTGGTGTCATGGTTAAGTGTGCGGACTCTAATCTGGGAGAACCGGGTTTGATTCCCCACTCCTCCATTTGCACCTGCCAGATGACCTTGGGCAAGCTGTAGCTGTCCTTGAAAAAGAGCAGTATCTCTCAGAGCTCTCTCAGCCCCGCCTACCTCACAGGGTGTCTGTCTGTTGTGGGGAGGGGGAAGGGAAAGGAGTTCGTAAGCCACTCTGAGACTCCTTTGGGATAGTGAAGGGCGGGGTATGAATCCAACCTCTTCTCCTCTTCTTCTGTTCAAACCATGGCCAGATTGGTGGCCTCTTGGAAGAAAAGCTGCAGCTTGGCAAATGAATCCCTTTTTCTTGTTCCTCTGTAGTTTGCCAAAGGACAGGGGTGGTGTGCTGCCCCCCCCCCCCCCCCAAAGATGCCCCTGGACTGCACGGCTTTCAAAGTACTCCAGGCAGAGGCAGGAGGAGGAGGAGGTTACAGGAGAAGGGCTTGGGGCCTTCAGAATGGGCAGGCTCTCCTGTCGTCTGATGTTGTCATCTTCTCCCTTTTGCTCGCAGAGTGACCAGGTGCCAGTGGGCAATTTGCCCCGCTCCGTCAACGTTAGCGTGCAAGGAGAGAACACGCGTCTAGTGCAGCCCGGCGACCACGTGAGCGTCACCGGCATTTTCCTTCCTGTGCGACAGACTGGCTTTAGGCAGCTCCTGCAGGTAGGAGAGGGATCGGCGGGGAGGGAGGGGCGGCTCAGCGGTGGTTCTGGGGCCTCGGACTGAGGCCCTCCCCCCCCCCGCTTGCCCTGGCTTCTCTCCGACACATACTTGGAGGCCCACCACATTGTCTGCGTGAGCAAAAGTGAGCAGGAGCAGCTGGGGGAAGAGGAGCTCACAGAGGAAGAGCTGCTCCAGATTATGGGTGAGAGGCGGCTGCTCCCTCCCCCCCTCTTCCCCACCCCACCCCACCCCCATGTAGATGGGGAGTATTGGGTGAACGGGCACACAGGTGAAACGCTGTACCCACCCCTGCGCGGTTGAGGTGAGCCAGCCATCTCCAGCCAAAGTGGCTTACAAAATAGAAAGATGCAATCCAAGTGAGCAGGATAAAAGAAGCATGCGGCACGGCACAGCCCGGGCAAGTGCTGGTCAAGATCCCCTTGGCTCACGCGGAACATTTGCGCCTCTGGCCGTGCCCCTGCTTAGAGGCCTGCTAAGAGGAAAGGCATGGGGGGAGGCGAGCCAGCTTGCCAGGGGGCCCAGAGGGTTGAGGATGGCAGAACCCCCCGGATCCTCCCCCCGGATGACGATTGAAAACAAAATGGCGGGTACCTCAGGGAGAGAGACGGGGGGGAGTCCGCACAGTGCGGGACTGGCCTCGGAGGGCTGGCTTTTGCTCGCGCCTGCTGTTTCCCCTTCGTCTTCCTCTACTGCTGAGATCTGACCAAGTCGGGGACGCACCAAACAATATTTGTGTCATTTTAATGTATTTATGCTTTTATGGAAGCCGCCTTGAGCCCGCTTGTGGGGAGGGCGGGGTATAAATTTGATAATAAATAAATAAAAATAAAGTGGTGAAAGTCGCCAGCGTTAGGGAAAGCTTTGGAAGAGAGCTGCTGGAGATGAAGAGGGGGCGGCGCTGCCTCTCGGGGTCTGCTGTGGCCTTCTGGAGGCAAAGGGGCTGCCCCCAGGCCAAGCCACAGTCTCCTCCCAGCTAGCAGTCCCCACCTTCCCTTTGAGAGGGAAGGCTCCTGACTGGTGTGTTGGTGGGTTCTTCCGCCATCCATCCATCCATCCACCCACCCTCCCAGGACGCTGCCTCTTGTTAGTGGCTCTGCTGTTGCTGTGGCCTCGAGGAGGACTTCCCCTTTGAGTGCATCCCTCCTGTCCGTGCTGCCTTTTTCAAATCTGTTGCACGGGGGGGTGGGGGCCCTGACTCTTGCAGAGGAAGACTTCTATGACAAGCTGGCCGCCTCGATTGCCCCTGAGATCTATGGACACGAGGATGTCAAGAAGGCGCTCCTGCTTCTGCTGGTGGGGGGTGTGGACCAGAACCCCCGGGGCATGAGAATACGTGGTGAGTGACAGAGCTGTTCCTCTTCCTGGGCTGTGTAGAGAGACTCTGGGAGCGACTGATGGTCAGAGGAGGTAGGCTTCCGTGGACCCCGGCGGGAACGGGGGGGGGGGTGTGTCTGGCTTTTGGGCAAGGCAGCTTCAGGTGTTTCTCCCTGGTTATGACCACGCCTCTCCCCTCTCTCAGCCCCGTTTCCCTTTGCTGAGATCTCAATGATAATAGTCTCCCAGGAGGAGGAGGAGGAGGAGGGGCTTTCTTTCTGGGGGTGGGCTGCAGGGCGAGCCTGACAACCCTGTTTGCATGCCATCAGGCCCCCTCCGGCACTGTGTGAGAAGGTGCCCTCCCCCTCCCCTCCCCGCTGTGTCCTAGGGAACATCAACATCTGCCTCATGGGGGACCCTGGTGTGGCAAAGTCCCAGCTGCTCTCCTACATCACACGCCTGGCACCACGCAGTGAGTACCACACGGGGGTGGGGGGACCTCTCTGAGCCGGGTGTCCTCCCCCCCCCCGGAACCTTCTGGAAGTCAGGCAGCGGGCGGGAGAGGGGGCTGTTCCCAAGAGCCATCCCGGCCTGTCCAGGAGGGAAATGGGAGCGGGGCCCTTGGCCAGGCTGTTCTTCACGAGGGAGTGCAAGAAGAGCTGTGCTGGGCAAGGCCCAGGGGCGGGGGGGGGGAGGCAGTAGTCTGCGTGAGCCAGTTCTGGGGAGAGCGGGGCTATAAATCAAATAAAGGAATAAATGAGTCCTCCTTGGCTATTCCTAGCTTCGGGGGGGGGGCGGTGTCACAAGCGTTCCAGCACCTGCTCCCTGGGCTCCTTTGTGTGTGCGGGGGGGGGGTAACTATGAGCCGCCGCCTCCTCCTCCAGGAGGGAGGGTCAGCCAGCCAGCCCTGCCAAGAGAGGAGGAGGAGGAGGAGCGTCTCCACAGCCAGGCCTGTCGTCTCCCTGCAGGCCAGTACACGACCGGGCGCGGCTCCTCGGGAGTGGGGCTGACGGCGGCGGTGCTCCGGGACCCGCTGACGGGGGAGCTGACGCTGGAGGGCGGGGCGCTGGTGCTGGCCGACCAGGGCGTCTGCTGCATCGACGAGTTCGACAAGATGCTGGAGTCGGACCGCACGGCCATCCACGAGGTGATGGAGCAGCAGACCCTCTCCATCGCCAAGGCGGGCATCCTGACCACGCTGAATGCCCGCTGTGCCATCCTGGCGGCAGCCAATCCTGCCTACGGCCGCTACAACCCCAAGCGCAGCCTGGAGCATAACCTCCAGCTCCCGGCCGCCCTGCTCTCCCGCTTTGACCTGCTGTGGCTGATCCAGGACCGGCCCGACCTCGACAACGACCTCCGGTGAGCCTCCAGCTCCCGGCCGGCCCCGGGGGGTGGGCTGCTGGGAGGGTGGGAGGGAGGGAGGAGGCCCTCTCCTGGGGGACCCCTTGGCTGAGGAGAGGGACGTTCCGTGTGTTTCCGGCAGGCTCGCCCAGCACATCACTTATGTGCACCAGCACAACCGGCAGCCGCCCAGCCAGTTCCAGCCACTGGACATGGCCCTCGTGAGGTGAGGTGGCGGGACAAACCCTTCCCGGGGGAGCGGGGAATGGCCGCCGGGGCTTGAACGAGCAGCCTGGAGGGGGGGTCGGCAAGGCTCTCCCCCCCCCGCCCGGCGAGGCTCTCCCCCCCCCGCCCGGCCCCTGCGTCATGCTGGCCGGTCCCATCCCTGTGTCTCCCGACAGGCGCTACATCGCCACGTGCAAGCGGAAGCAGCCGGCAGTGCCAGAATCGCTGGCAGACTATATCACGGCGGCCTACGTGGAGATGCGGAAGGAGGCCTGGGCCAACAAGGACACCACCTACACCTCCGCCCGCACCTTGCTGGGCATCCTGCGGCTGGCTACGGCCCTGGTGAGCGGGGGGGGGGCTGAGCCCTGCCACACCTGCCCGCCTGCAGGATTGCCCGTCCTCAAGCGCCCTGACAGGAGGGTCGAGTCCCGCCTCCCGAGGGTCCCGAGCTTTCTCGTCAGCAAGAAACTTAAGCTCCTGGCTGGGAGGGCTGCAGAGAAGCCCTTTCGGGGAGACCCCGACTGCCGGAGGGAGGGCTCCCAGCAGCTTGCTGGAGGCCGGGTGGCCTGAAATGAGCCTTCATTCTAGCAAAATACGCTCTTGATGGAGATGGAAACTGGTCCTGCAGTGGGCAGCAGGGCAGAGAGGGGTCTGGTACAGGCAGGGGCGGAGGGGGGAGTGGGAGAAAGGAAAACCAGGAGGATAGTCTTCCCTTCCCCTGCTTTAGCCACTTGGAACCAATAGAACTGAGGCTATTCTCACATTTTCTTTAATGGCAAAACCTGTGCTTTCATGCCTACTTACTTATACTATGGAACTGCTGGGCACACCGATTGTTAACCCTTCCTGTTTTCATCTGGAGACTTGTCAAGCAACAGATAGAACAAAATTATACCCAGAGTGAAACTTTGTTGGTCTTAAAGGTCCCTGACTGGACTCGAATTTTGTTCTGCTGCTTCAGACCAACACGGTTGCCTGCTTTAACCAAGAAAGAGTTTAGTTTGGCGTTTCTAAGCAGTTCTAGTATTAAGAACATAAGAGAAGCCAATGTTGGATCAGGCCAGTGGCCCATCCAGTCCAACACTCTGGGTCACACAGGGGCCAGAAATACCAGGTGCCATCAGGAGGTCCAGCCGTGGGGCCGGGACACCAGAAGTCCTCCCACTGTTGCCCCCCCCCCCAAGGATACAGAGCATCCCTTGCCCCAGACTGAGAGTCCCTATCTATACCTTGTGGCTAAGAGCCACCGATGGACCTCTGCTCCACATGCTTATCTAATTCCCTCTTGAAGCCGTCCGCCACCCCCTCCTGTGGCTATTACTCAAGCCTGCATCAGATCTTCTGCCTCAACAGGCCAGAGGGGCTTTGCTTTCCATTCGATGGCATGGTCCACCTCCCCAACAAGTACCTTTGACTCGGCTCCCGCCTGCACTCCAGTTGATCCGCTACTAAGCTTACGCTCCTGGAGCCTTGTTCCTTTCGAATGTGGCGGGGGTCCTGGCGGTCTCCCACAGGCCGGGCGCAGCCCCCTCCCAGCAACCCCTCCTGGGCTCTTGAGAGGTGGCCCTTGCCCGCCTCTGTGTGGGGAGGGGCCCTCGACTTCCTCGGTGGCCTGCCCTCCAAGGACTAGCCAGGACTGATCCTGATGAGCTCCCGCAGTCTGATGAGAATCGGAGGAGCCAGGCACCCCACGCAGAACCCCCCGTGGCTCCACCGTGTGACTGCTGAGAGATTTCTGCCCCACCCGTCATGAAAGGGGGGGGCCACCGGGCAGCTCTCCCCGACTCTGTCCTGCCACACCAGCCTTGGGGGAGGTCAGGCTGAGGTGGACTGGCCCTCGGGCAGCCTATAAGCTTCACACACAAGTGGGAATTTGAACACAGGTTTCCCTGGCGTCTGCCACCCCCCCACCCCCACCCATCATACTGGTCGCTTTCAAGGGACAATTGTGGGCTTTGAGATGGTCTGAAGAGGTGCACACGGGAGGCGGCACTCTTCCCTAGCGGGCAGGCTGTGCATTGTGCCCCGTCCAGCTGAGTTCTACAGGCCCAGCGCGGGTCACACGCGGTGGAGAAGAGAGGCAGGCCGTGCCAAGCAGTGGTCCCTCTAATGCTGAGGAGGGCTTGTCTACAACAGAGGCTCCTAGCCCTTTTGGCATGGCGATCTAGCCCCAGGGCTGGGGGGGGGGGCCCTCTGGGCAGACGACAACCCTGCCACCCGTCTAGCTCAGTGTTCCATTTTCTGCGGTGGCTCACCAGATGTTTTTGGGAACCCAACCACCACTGCTCGAAGGGCGCAGCTTCCCCCCCCCCACACACACACACTGTGAATCCCGAGCACGTGGCACTCTGACGTACACGGCCTCTGACCACCCCCTCCAATAATCCCCTCCAGGACTCACATCCGTGAGGACACGTTTTACTTGATCGACGTGTGTCTACGTGGATGCGTGACATGGAAGGGAGGGTTTCCAGGGGCTCGGCGCTTGCTTTCCACAGTACAGGAAAGCAGTGCAAAGGGCCCGGGGGCTGCCGGGGAGGGAGGGTTGGCCTGCAACCTAATTTCAGGTCCTCCTGACCCACAGGCTGGGAGACGCTGTGCTGTGCTGGAGCAGCCAGGGTGGTGGGGAGCGGGACAGTGAGGGTTGCTGGGCCACGCCTCATCCTGCCCTTCCCCCTCCTAGGCACGGCTGAGGCGCGTGGACCTGGTGGAGAAGGAGGATGTCAACGAGGCCATGCGCCTGATGGAGATGTCCAAGGACTCCCTTCTCACAGACAAGGGACAGCCAAGCAGGTGTGGTGCAGGGTCCCTGGCATAAGCACCCTGCCCCCTTTCCTGGGTTTTTGATGGGAGTCACTGAGAGCCTGGGTAACCCTGCCCCCCTTTCCTTTCCCCCTCTCTCGCCCCCCCAGAGCCCAGCAGCCCTCTGAGCTGATCTTTGCAGCCATCCGGGAAATGCTTCCGGCAGGGGGAGTCCGCTCGGTCCGCCTGGCAGAGGCCGAACAGCGCTGCGTCTCCAAGGGCTTCACCCCTGCTCAGTTCCACACGGCACTGGAGGATTACGAAGAACTGAACGTTTGGCAGGTGAACCAGCAGAAGACCCGCCTCACATTTGTGTGAACACTCGGTGGAGAGGACCTCCCTGCTCTCTTCCACTTTTAGAAATTTCATCTGCTTTTTCCCCTGCAATAAAGTTACACAGGGCTGATGGCATTTCTGCCTCTCCTTGGGGGAAGTGGGGCAAAGGTTAGCGGCTGAAGCTTTCTAGGAGCTGGGGGGGCACCTTGCATCATTCTCCATCGGTGGGGAACAAAGTGAGTGATGATCTGGTTCCTCCTCTGAGTTCTTAGCCAATCCAGGCTCTCTGCAAGAGCATCCGGCTGTTGACCTTGGGTGCATGAGGTGGCCCGCCCCCCCAGAAGCTGAAACTGCAAGCTGTGAGCAGCCCCCTTGTTTCCTTTTCAGTCCCCCCTTTTGGGGTGGGTACAGGCTAGATTGCCACTCCGTTGCTCCAGCAGTTTTCATACCTGATTCCAGGTTTCACCATGGACCCTAACCCTGTCCTAGATGTTGCAGGATCTGACCACATGGCCAGATCAGACGCAAAGTGTTGGACAAGCTCAGTGCATGGAGGTGACTGGTGGGTGTGCAGAGGGTCAGCACTGAGAGCTCCCCCCCCCCGTGAGGCAGAACACTGGGGAAGCAGAGAGTGGGGGCGGGCTTGTCTTGATGCTGTTGGAACAGAGGCAGGCATAGCTGCTCCAAGCCTCCTGTGCTGCTCCGCAGCGGAAGAGAGAAGACTCCCATCTGGCGCCTCGGTACCAAGGTGACTGAATGAATTATTAAACATAAACAGGTACGAGGTCCCTAGTATTGACTGAACTTAATGAAAAGCCTGAGCTCTGGAAGAGGTGTTACTGGCCTCCTTCCATCTCGCTAGACAGGAAATCTAAAGACAGGACCCTGAAAACCACCGGTCATAACAACATCAGAGAAGCCAGTGGCCAAAAAGACCAGGTGCCATCAGGAACATAAGAGATGCCAATGTTGGATCAGGCCAAAGGCCCATCCAGTCCAACACTCTGTGTCACACAGTGGCCAGAAATACCAGTGACATCAGGAGGTCCACCAGTGGGGCCAGCCCCCCCACCCCTGAAGAGTAACCCGATCTCAGAAGCCAAGCAGGGCCAGCCCCAGCCAGTGCTTGGATGGGAAGCCGGCAAAGAAACCTAGGACCATTCGACCACCTGTGGGGACGCGCCTGGTCTCTTCCCTCTCTCGCAACAGCAAAGACGCGAGCCCACACACACCCAGGCTTGGGCATTATGACCGCTTTATTTTGGGGAAGCCGGCACACCTCAGAAAAAGAGGCCCCGCATTCGTCGGCCGATGCCCTGGCGGTCATAGAGGACGTTGAATTTGTTCACAAACTGGTTCATGGTGTTGCAGGTCTTGGTGATGGTGCCCAGATACGTCATGAGCCCCACGTCGTTGCATTGCTGGAAAAGAGCCAGGAGAGAGCAGTGCTGCTGTGCACAGAAGGGACGGGGCCGTGCCCTTGGTGCCAACCCCTCCCCGTGCCCCATCCCGCTGGCACGAGGAAGTGGGGGGGGCACTGTTCCCGTGTCAGGACAATCAGCTCAGCTACCCATCGGGCCGTTTTAGCTGCTTTCCTTCACCTGTGCGCGCACCCAAGGGAACTAGCATACAGAGACTCGTTTAAAACTAACCCCGGGTCCAATCTCTTCGTTAAAATGAGTGACAGTAAGGATTACTTTTTCTCCCCCTAAAAACCTGCAGATTCTTAGGCACAGCTCTCCAGCCTCCACCACACTCCCATAGACCCTCCTCCTTTTGCCCAGGGGTCTTCTCTCTCACTCCGAGCCCTTTGGCATGACAGAAGGGAAGTGCGCCCCTCCTGCCTCCTCCGCCCTGCCCCCAGCACTCACGTCGTAGAAGTCCGTCTTGAATTTGTCTGTGCTCAGCACAGGCAGGCAGTGGCAGAGGGCATAGGCCTCCCGCAGAATCTCGTGGTTGAAAGGTATTTCACCTACGGGAGGGAGAAGGCATGCTATGGAAGAGCCCGTGCCTCTGCTTCTCACCCAGAAAGGGTGGGGTGGGGCGAGCTTGGATCAAGATCACGTCCCCACCCCGGCGCTTCACCTGTCTCTGTCGCTTTCACATATTCTAGGATGAGTTTGACACGGCTGTGCAGCATCTTTATGGCGCTGTGTTGAGCAATGAGGTGCTCAGCCACTACAGGGTCAAAGGAGGAGAATGTCAATGAGGGACACTGTGCGATCTAGCCATGCAAGGCCCTCAGCCGTACAGCCCAGGACCATCAGAGGGCCTGACTGATTTCTCCGCACCCACACTCCCTCCTCAACCCACCCACTCTACCCCATGGAACCAACCCAGACCGTCACAGCATTCTCCACCCCGCACTTCACTCTTCTACCTGTGGAGTTCTCGCCACTGCCGGTTGCAGTCATCCGTGCCACGTGGTCCACCCCAATGCGCTCAGCCTCCTCTGTTGCCAGCGTGTACGTCAGCTCAGCAAACAACATTGTTGCCTGGAAGGAAAAGGGTGGGAGAGACAAGCAAAACGGAAGGGCCTGAGCCCCTGGGGCCAGACCTTCCACCTCCACTCCGCCTGCTTACAAGGCAGGCCAAGGAGGTGGCTCTGCTGAGTGCCCACCGCCAAACGGTCAACTTCCTCAGGGAGAAGGGCTTCTTAGGAACAGCAGCGGGTATTACCTCTCCGTTGATGATGTCGATCACGGACTCAAAGACACTGACTGGCAGCTGGGAAGGAAGAGAAAAAGGAGCACCCGGCTCCCTCAGAGGCCCCTGACACGGAGATGCAGCCGCTTACAAGGAGGGGGGGGGTGGGTACTCACATCCGTGTGCTTGGTCATGGGGTTGAGCTTGAGGAAGAGGGGGCTCTCAATGATCTCACACACCTGAGGAAAAGGAGACGGGCATCAGAGACCACAGGCCGGGGGGGCATCGGGGCAGGCGTGCCCACCCCAGGGGCAGAGGCTCACCTGCTTGTGGACGTGGATGTCCGACTGGTCTGGGGGGCCCCCCGTGGTGTACCAGCCGAGGAACTCCAGGTCCTTGAACACCTGCTTAACTGCGGGGAGAGGGAAGCAGAGAGGCGTTGGGGAGACTGGGGTGGGGGGCGGCCTGCGGAGCCCCCCCCCCCGGGTGGGGCCTCTACTCACACTGCTCCTCCTTGGTGTAGTAGTACTCCTTGTCGATCACCACGTTCTCCTCCACGGTGTGCGAGAGCAGCTCGAAGGAGTTCATCACCTCGATGTTGCGCCCCTCCTGGCGCCCGATCAGCGCCCCGATGACTGGAACCCGGCCCGGCAAGGGG